GACTTTGACTGAAAACACAAATCCATAGTATTAAACAGTCCACAGCAATCTGTCAACCGCAGTTTCAATCTTTTCTGGGTTTCAATTTCAGAGTTCAAAATTGCAGTGAAGATTGGTTGAAAATTGCTTTCATAACATTTGTAACACATATTTCCTACACTACTCGAAATGCCCTCTTAAAATAGCCAACTTTCATTCTATCTTAGGGGTCTATTCACGAAGCTGCCGAGGGCAGCCGAGTGAATGACCTATCTGAAGTGAAGTGAGCCGAACACTGTTCGGCTATTCACTTCAGGCTGGTACGGCTAATTTCAGCCATACATCGGCTGAAATCAGCCGTACATCGGCTTGCTTCATGTGGCTTCGGGTCAGCTGAACATGCTCAGCATGTTCAGCTGACCCGAAGTGCAGAAGAAGCGTGGACAGAAGGAGGGCGTGGACAGAAAACAGGAGAATTTGTGTGGTTTGCACTTTCTTGTTTATACTTTAGATTGTTTAGGTCTGTCCTTATATTTCATAGTTTTGGAAGATTTAAAGGGGATTGTACAGAGATTGTACAATCTGATTACATGGTATATGGTCAGTTTAAGAGAGGGGTTCCTCTCACCTTGTAGAGATTTCCTATCACCACACATACACTTTGAAGGAGTTCTACAGTCCCATTATATACTATCCTGTCATAACATCAGCATTGTACTAGGAATACATACTGTTTTTGATCCCTTTTATGTAGTGAGTGCTGCCTTACATTTGCCCATCGCTTTCACCAACTTTCTGGATTCCCAGTGTGCTTTGCATCTCCTTCTCTGCAGCTTGATGTGATGCAAACTCAAATTCTCAAGACTATATAGCCCATCATGCATTGCTTCCAGCAAGCACTGATGGTGTTACACTGTGGGCATTTCCTGTGCTCACTGTGAGAGAGGGGGGGCAGGAGTTGAGTCAAGCGGACATTGTGACAGTTGTGACACATATTCATAGGGCTGAGTGAAATGGAAGTGCATCCCATGAGCATCTTCAATAATTAAGTTTACAAACTTCGAGATCAATATGGCTATTAGGAGTGGAATATAACTTATGGAAATTCAATATAGAAATACATATTTATTTTTAGTTTTTAACCATAGACACCCTTTTTAGGTATAATGTTCAAATGCAGACTTGTTTCCTGTTAAATAGTCACCTATTTTTGGTAAAACATTTGGAATTAATCTCCTTTTTAGGACAGGTTACTATTTAGTTAACACAATTTGTTCCTGATGTTATTATTACTTGTACTATAAAGCTTTATACTTTTACTTCTTTTTTTTTTACCATGGCAATCATATCCATGAATGGAATTTTCTGCCACATTCAAAATATTTTGTATGAATATGGACATTCAATTTGAGCACAGTCTATGGCAATTTCAAGGCACGCTTCGTTTAATAAAGTGTGCACTTGATGCCTAGCTGGAAAACTTAGACTCCTGTGAAATTGGCCTTTCTAAAAGCTGAAAATAACTAGTTTGGCAATCCGTGATTGAAGCATGAAATATAGTGTTTTTGTATCCCACTGTGACACACGGCTCTGAAAGAATAGTCTGGCTTTAAAGAAAAACAAAGTGGATTTTGGATTTTTTTTTTTATTGCACAAAGCCGAGAAATGACTTGATTGGTTTAAAATTATACATGCAGTAATGGATTGCGGACAGGTGCTACCTAGAATGGATTTAGAGTTTGGGAAGATCTCATACGTATTGTACATAAATAGCATGGAGTATTGAAAAACGTGTCCTTTCTTTTGTGAAATGGACTCAAATTGAACATTATTTGGGAAATGTGGTAATTCACCAGTGACATCTACTGGTGAAAACTAAGTAGTGTAAAAGAGACTGCTTTGTCAGTTACAAATGACAACTACATCACCATTTAGGGAGCCTTTTATAAAAGAAATATGGGGCATCTTTTGCTGAGTTTCCTGTCTGGTTGACTGTCTGTCATATTTATTTCTGATTGAATTGTTTCTGAGTTGCTCCCTCTCCCACTTTGTTGTATCTCTCGCCGTCCATTTTGCCCTTCCTCTTCTATCTCTTCTTTCTCCTGTTTCTCCTTTACATTTCTTTCCCCTATTCTCTTGTCAATGAGCAGTACAGCCATTCAAGTTGAACTATCCCATAGTAGGTGGGAAACCAGTGACTTTGCTTTTTACCATTAGACTAGGTTTAGATATCGGTGATCCCGGGACACGCATGCTGCGACTGCGCGACCGTGCACGATTGCACACAGCAATTGCCACGCGGCCCCATTGATTTCAATGGGGTTATATCCACACAACAATTGCTGAAATAAAAGGTACTCTTTTTGCAACACGCACCGTACGCCTTTTTGAATCGCGATCATGCGCGATTGCATGGGTGGTAATGCGGCGGGAAACCACACAATCTGCCTGGTGCAACATGGGTGCCATTAGAAAAAAATGGCACTGCCAGTGTCATTGGCGGTGGTATGCAATTCCGTGACCGCACGGTCATCCATTAAACTTAATAAACTTAATGTGGGATTGTAGTCCATCACGAGAGCGAACTTGGATTTTTGTCACAGGGTACAGACTGAAAGCTATGGCTCCTTCGCTGAAACGAGTCAACCAATATTATACTTGTCAGTTTTTCTGGCTGCAGCTTTTTAATTTTTTTTTTAGTCTTTATTTATATCAAAGACATACACTGTGTTTGTAATACAATCAACTAGGAAAGGATAAATCGTTCTACAAAACTGGATAAGTACATGCTTTAAAGGTTCTTCGAATACTTCTCCCGACATATTAGGCCCATCCATTGCTATATACAGTATGTGAGCAATCTGGAAGGGAGCTTTTTAATCTTAATATCTGAACCAAGCTGAGTATTTAACCCAGTAGATGAAATTATAGACTGTGGTTAGTCCATGCATCCCTGTAATGTATGCTGTAAGTTCACATCCTGTTTATGCCGTCTTTTACAGAAACATACTGGACTCCACCGAGGCCCTGTAATAAAACCGTAGTATTTTCTGTCGGCACACTCAGATGTTTTATAATAATTTACAGCTTTGTAGTTTATAAATGTTCAAGTTTAGTTAGGGGTGCTCTCTATTAAAATCTGGCTTAGTGCTTAAAGGAGAACTATGGGGTCAGGGCTTTTCCCCATAGTTCTCCTCAGGGTAACGGGAGGACACAAGCTAGCGTCCTCCCGTCACCCTAGGCTCAGTATACCGCGAGCTATCTAGAGGCAGAGCCAGCTGTACCCGCCCCCTCCCCCGTCCGTTCCGCCAGTCAACGCTGGCAGATCTGAGCGGGGAGAGGGGAATCCAGCCCCTCCTCTGTCACGGCAGAGAGCCGTGACAGGATCGAGAGGTGAGCGAACCCGGTATGTGTTCGCTCACCTCCTGATCCAGTGAGCTGACCTATGACAGTCTCATTGTCACAGGTCGGCTAGAACTATGAGGTGAGTGAAAAGCACTCACCTCATAGTTCTCCTTTAAAGTATATATAAAGGCACAACATTTTTTTAGTTTTGAATGGAGTTGGGAGAGGCTAGACCTTTTATTGTCTGTGTCCTTGATGGAGAGAGTCTCCCCTCTATTTGTCCTGGTGTTAATTGTCACCAAGACAGCAAGTGAGGGAAAATCCAAACATATTGAGTTGTTATCACAGCAATCCTGCTGTGTGTCCAGGACAGGAAGTAAAGGTAAATCTCCCAACTGGAATAGAGACAGCAAAAAATAACTTCATAACTTTTCTACTCTCTCCAACACTAAAACATACACTTTAACATGTCTGGCTATCTGGAGTGATTGTATGTATCACTCTGTGTACTGGTGTTCAGGACATACAAACTGTTGTGCAATATCTGACTGTCTTGGGATGATGTTGGGATGGTGAGGTAATTGAATGTAATGTCTTCTGGTGGTGAAAACAATGTTTTAGGAACAGCTACCTTTGGCATGTGGCTTTGTCTTATAGATGGTCCTTATAAATGGCAGCAAGATGCTCAGATATTTTGTAGTCAATGATTTACATAGAGCAGTCTTCCTCAAACAGGGTTCTGCAAAACCTATGGTTCCTCCTGAGGTTGCTAGGTTCCTTTAGGAATGATCAGTGGCGACTCGTTTTCCACCAACGCATGGTGGCACGTCTACATTGACTACTAAAGTTTGGGGACCCCACAATTTTGACCGTGAGTGTTTCTTTTCTCTTATCACTCATTTAATTTCAACATGATTGCTGAAAATGCTGTATTTTTAGAGCAGGAGGGTATACACTTTATTGTTTATTCTCATACTTAAAACATTCTAAAATGTATTGATCGCACTAGTATACCATGAACTGTAGGTATAATAATCATTGTTGCAGTTCTTTCCTGAGACTTGAAAAATATTTTAAGGGTTCCCCCAGAGTAAAAATTATGAGAGAGGCTGATTTCGATCTTAAAAAGTAACTTTTGGAAAGAAGCGTCACATGAAAATTTGGTGACCTTTCAAGAGACATTATCAGTATCAGGATACTGGTCTTTCAAGAAGTGTTTTGCTCAACCTTCAAGCTATGGCTTCACCAGCAACTCATCAATTGTATGCCATATAAGTATTACAGCCTGTGAGGAAGCTAGACATTCTGTCACCCAGGGAAAAGTTCTCCATCCACACACCTAGTGGCGCCCCTCCTAAAGTGGCACCTGGGAATGATACATGGGTATGTGTAATTGTTTAAGCATGTTGTAGGTTCAAGTTTGGTTTAGGACATAATTACCTTTGCTGAGTCCTTAATGACAGGGCTATTTTCAGCATGGTAGTATGCAGTGCCAAGGCAAAGGTGCCAAAGTGATGAAAATTATTTCAGGGGTTCCCTGAGACCTGAATTTTTTTCCTCAAGGTTTCTCCAGCGTAAAAAGATTGAGAAAGACTGGTATGAGGTTTTAATAGATTTCCAGCGTATGTCCCAAATGGGTGCCAGCTAAAAAAAAGTGTGTACCTTTTTCCTTATAGCTATTGACGGTGAACCCTGAACATCGCTGCTCTTGCCTTCTGGATATTCAGACATCAACATATTTATCAGAAGTTGTCTTGGAAGATATACTGGAGAAGAAAGTGGAACCAGGTTTTGTTCCAAATGCAAGTAATTTCTTTCTATGAATACTCTTTACTACATCAGTTAAATAAATGATATCTGAGAGAGGTGAGTAGATAGCTTTTAAAGCCAAACTCTAGGCAGATATAAAAGACACAAATTAATGCAGCTCTATATTCATTAATACATCAATAAATGTGAATTTGTTTTTACATTGCAATGGCTCTTGTGCTGAGCTCTGCTGTACAAAGTATTGCAAGGGGCTAATACCAAGTCATATTCAGGTACTTAAATTGCTGTATATATTTTAAAAATACATTTAATAATGTATTCATGAATACATAGCTGTTTCTATTATATCTGCTTGGAGTTCAGCTTTAAGCTCTCATTGCCATGAATTTGGTGGCAGTGGTTGTTTGATATCACCTTCTAGAATCCGAGGTAAAGACCTTTTTAGGGAATCAAACTCTGCTCCACTGTGGAGCAATCTGTTTTGGTCTTAAAATATTCCCATCTGGATGGCTTATCTGATGATGTTGTTCTATTTTTATATAGCAAAGTGCAAAACGGTGGAATAAAAAGCTGTAGTTTTCTGATAAGCTGCAGCCCTCTTCTATTAGTATCTTTATCTCTGTAGAAAGGTCGACTGCACTGTGATCCCACGTTTGAACTAGAAGAGATGATCTTAGAATCAAGACCACTCCATAAAAAGAAGAAAAGGCTGGCCAAGAACAAGTCCAGGGATAACAGTAAAGACGGTTCGCAGTCTGTAAGTCATACATGTTTATTACATTCATTGTATACTTATCATCCACTATAGCAACAGAATGCACAGGCATTGGATTAAAGGAGACATATTGGGGGAGTAAAATATACCCCCTTTAGCTGTCAGACGCTGGCTCTATATACCCAGAGCTGATTGCTCAGCTCACAATCTCCCCCCTGCAGAAAGCAATGACTCTCAGTCACCGCTCCCCGCAGGGATCCCTTCTCTGCTCCTCCAGCACTCATTGAATTGACAGACAGGGGAGGGGGCAGGCACAGTTGGCTGTGGCTCTATATACCCAGACCTGAATGACCATTACCGCTGATTGCTCGGCTCAAGGTCTCCCCCCTGCAGAGAGCAATGACTGTCAGTCATCGCTCCCTGCTGGGATCACTTCTCTGCTCCTCAAGCACTCATCGGAGGGGCAGACAGGGGAGGGGGCAGGGACAGCTGGCTCTGGCTCTAGAGAGGTAGAGCCAGCTGTCAACAGGCAGCCAGGTGGATCACAACAATATTGTCAGGGTTTGAATTACTTCTCTTTTAGGTAAACATGTAATAACGATAGTGGTTATGGCCAATGATAATCATTATCACTGAGCAGAAAACAAAGGTTATCCTTATCTTAAAAAGTGCTTGTGGAGAGAGTAGGGGAAGAGCAGTAGGAGAGTATGATGCAGAATAGGGGGAGGGGGGTGGGTGCACCTTTTGCATAGGCAAAAGAAAGGTGTACTTGAAGGACAAATGATTCAATCAGAAACTATACTGTTTTCAGTTCAAAGATAAAAAAAAACTGGTCTTCATGTTTAAAAGATGGAAATTTGATATATTATATGTTTTCATTGCCTGTGTAAAAACATATTTCAACAATTGTTTTTATTATTTGTATCAAATATTTCACAAATAAGCATTTCATACACACTGTATTCATGACACACCAATCAGCACTGCCGCTCTCTTTTTGATTGTTTGCAATTGAAAATCTATATGGCTTTGTGTAAGCTGGAGAACAGGGAGGAAGGAAGGAAGATGTGACCCTCCTTTGACTTTTTGTGTGCTGTGAATAGATCTAAATAGCAGGGGACTGAATGCTATTTACTGCACAGTAGTAAATTACACTGCAGAAGTGGTGCCATGTTGCCTCGCATGTAAAAAATATGAAGTAATAATTTGCATAGTTTCATTTTTTTTCTGGTAAATATGAACAACAAAAATGTAAAATTTCAAAACAGACATAAAAAATGTTTTAAAACACTGTAAATTTATTTTAAACAGGACGACTACCTCCAGGAATGTCTAGATGGCCTTCAACAAGAATTTGTAATTTTTAATCGTGAAAAGTAAGTAGAAAACCCTTTTCTCTTTAAAACTGCTTTGCAATGTTTTAACTCCAGAGCAACTTCCAGATTATGAATGTAAGCGTGGTTCGGGTCTGGAACCCGCTGCCACAAGCAGTGGTATCAGCTGAGAGTGTTGAATCATTCAAAAAGCATTTGGACAATTTCCTCAGAGACCGTAACATACAGGAGTACAGGTACCATTAAAAACAAGATCACACGGGGACTCATACACTTGCAGAATCACATACATGCACGCAATAGGTTGAACTTGATGGGCCTGTGTCTTTAATCAACCTCAAATACTATGTAACTATCTATGTTTAAAAAGTAGTCCACACAAAACCAACATTTTTACTTTTGGGTAGATGCTGGCAAGGTAAATTACCCTCTGATAAGATTTCTGCACCTGATCAGCCCACCAGCAATAACAATCTTTAGAGCCCATTCACACCACATCCAGATCATCTCTAGACCAGGTTGTTTCCCGGACCCAAAATGCATCCTAATGTATCCCTATGCTGTTTCTGGCCTCTGTTCCGACCAGCGCAGTCCATTACAGACCAGACCAGGAAAATACGGCAGGTCTCATTTTGTCTGGTCTGGATTGCACTGGAACTGCGGGCAGGTTCACACCATTTTCTGATCTGGTCTTGAAAATGGTGTGAACCTGCCCTAAGGGCCTCTAACTCTCCATGTGGGAACTAAGAGAATGCAGCTGTAGAATTTAAACTTTATGATGTTAGTACTATCAGGATAAGGAAGTACTTTATTAGACACCTGTGACAATTACGCTCTCAGCCTCACCCGGCACGTACATTTTCTAGCTTGCAGGAGACTGAGAGTGATTGCCACTTGCGCAGGTTAACTAATCAGTTAACGCTTTGCACACATACCGGTAGTAGCCACCACCACAGGTTTTGAAGGAAACACGCATCATTCACAGCATCCACTGTTGTGATTCTGAACTTTAAAAATATCTGTATCTCTCCCTGCCACACCAAAACAGGAATGTAACAAAATGTACACTACAGTAGCTTCTTCAAATAGGCATACATTCTTTCATTTCTCTTTAGAGCATTCAGACATTCAGCTTAAAGGAGAACTATGAGGTGAGTGAAAAGCACTCACCTCATAGTTCTAGCCGACCTGTGATGAGACTGTCACAGGTCAGCTCAGTAGATCGGGAGGTGAGCGAACAGATACCGGCGTTCGCTCACCTCTCGATCCTGTCACGGCTCTCTGCCATGACAGGGGAGGGGCTGGATTCCCCCCTACCCGCTCCGATCCGCCAGCGTTGACTGGAGGGGCAGGAACAGCTGGCTCTGCCTTTAGATAGGCAGAGCCAGCTGTCACTCACGCAGCTGGGCGGATCCCGGCACAGTTGTCGGGATCCGCTTCAGCTGCGGTGTCTCAGTATACCGCGAGCAGCAGCTTGCGGTATACTGCGGCGTCTCAGTATACCGCGAGCTACAGCTCGCGGTATACTGAGCCTAGGGTGACGGGAGGACGCTAGTTTGTCCTCCCGTTACCCTAAGGAGAACTATGGGGAAAAGACTTAACCCCATAGTTCTCCTTTAATGATATATTGTTTTAATGAAAATAAATGTTTACAGAAAAGATATTACAAAACAGACACTAAGTTACAGTAAGATAAAAGGGTTGTAAAATGGAAGTACTGTATATACAGTGTAGTCTGTCTAGTCTTGTATCAGTGCAGAGTTTGGATCACTTGCAGACTAACAGGGTTATTCACAGAAGGGTGAAGAGTTTGGAGAAGGCAGGAGAAGTGAACAATCTAGGACAAAATAGCTGAACTGGAAAGTGAGCTGAATTACAGAATGTTTCCTAATCAGCTATTTTGGCCTTGATTGTTCACTTCTCCTGCCTTCTCCAAACCCTTCACCCTTTTGTGAATAACCCTTAAGTCTAATCCGATATAGCAGAGGTGGCCCTCATCAGTGTGGCTCTCTCAGTATCCTTGGTAGTTTTGATATTAAAGAGAGCTCCAGCTGCCAAATGAAACAACTTTTTTTTTGACCCTGGAGAGGGGGATACAGAATTAAATCCTTCCAATTAAAGGGTCCAAATGGTGTGCTGTTGGTGTGCACACCCTCAAAGCCAACTGTCCTGGGTATATATAAACTACCATTGGACAAGCTTTCACAAAATAACAACCAGCAGATTATTTAACCAAATTAACTTACGATTTGTTAGATACTAAATATGGCTCTGATGTATGCTTGTCTTAGGTGGTTCCATGCATCTTATCAGCTTTCTGGACCTTGTAAACCAGGCATGGTTGGTGTTCAATTGACTGGTATCTTCTTATACATTAGAGTATCCACTTTTAGACAGGTAACTCCATTACCGTAGGAGCTATGGAATATGGATTAAAGTTCACTCTGGGAGGTCTGTATTAGGTTAATATACTGTAGGAGTCTTTTGAAAACCCTGGGTTAGTAAAGGTTTATATTGCCCTGCATACCTTCTAGCTTGTTAGCTTTCTGTAAAATGTGTCTTAATTGGAGCTGTGGCTTGTCAAATGTGTCACATTCTCTGGCTGACATGAGATTTAAACCTGACAGTTTTCTTTAAACAGCTTGCAAATTCTGGAATTGAAGGTGGCACGGTGTTCAGTACCATTCTCCCATTCTCTCCACTCAGTTGGAGTGAAGTGGAGTCTGACAATAGAATAGTTTGTTGCAGTATACTGTATGTAAAGTGAACTGTCACATTTTATCTGCTTTCTTTTGGTCCTTTAAAGGAGAACTATGAGGTGAGTGAAAATCACTCATCCTCATAGTTGGAGCCGACGTGTGACAATGAAACTGTCACACGTTGGCTCAATAGATCGGAAAGTGAGTGAACACATACCGTTGCTCACTCACTTCTTGATCATCTCCCTGCAGAGAGCGGTGACTGTCAGTCACGGCTCCCTGCAGGGATTCCTCCCCCCCTCCCCACTCCGATCCTCCATCGCTGACTGGAGGAACGAATGGGGGAGGGGGCGGGCACAGCTGGCTTTGCTTCTAGATAGGCAGAGCCCACTGTCACTCACGCAGCTAGTTGGATCTCAACAGCATTGTGGGGATCCGCCCCGGCTGCGGCGGTCTCAGTATACCGCGAGCTGTAGCTCGCTATATACTGAGCTTTGGCTCACAGGAGGATGCTGGTATATGTCCTCCCGTAACCCTTAAGATAACTATGGGGAAAAACACTTACCCCATAGTTCTCTTTTAAATATAATATTGAAAGCCTTTTGTTAGATCTATTTGATAAGTGCAAGAAAAATACCTGTTGATCCTGCCAGATATCCAGCGAGCTTATAACTCAAGTGAGCTTCAAATCTCAAGTGTTATCAGCTCTGCCCAATTACCTTCTGTGGACTGCAGAATTCCTACTCTCCCATGTTATGGAGATGAGGAGAAGGGTAGATGTTCTATAGTCCTAACACACTTCCAGGACAAAACCCTGAAATATTAAAACAAAGGCAGCCACCACATCTAAAGACTGATAAGCTGCAATATATTTATTTTTTGTTTTGGGATTTAGATAAACTTTCATGCATTGTTGTATATGGAATAACATCGAAAAAAACGATTTCATTTGCAGGCTTTTTCCCAGTCATATTGTTAAAAAAAAGTTGGTCCACAATTAACATGCTGATTATTCAGTGAGACAAAGAATAAAATGCATTGATTTATCGCAGCCAAGCAGCATTCATGTCTTAGTGATTTACTTTTAGGCGACTTGCTGTAGGTTAATGCCCGTTGCACAATGTCCTTTCTCTTTGCACTGTCATTTTGGAAAAGCCAGAGCTTCTCTTCATGTAGAACCACACACCTTATTCCTCAATCTTGTGCTGTAAATGGATCAGTATCCTCCTTTGTCTGGTACTTTCTCCCCCTAATTGCCTGGTAATAGAATAATGCTTTGTGGTAATAAAATAATGTTTCCAGGTAATTTAATCTTCTTTCCTGGTACTGGCAAGCATCACATGTTAATAATATCATCAGGACAGACTGAGCCTTCTTCGTAGCTCTGAGTCAGCATTGTAGTAATTAGGTTGGGATAATAAAAACGTGCACACATCAAGCTATGGCAGGATCTAGATATAGAAGAGGCAATAACTCTTGGGGGTAGAGGTTTTCAGGAAATGATTCATAAATAGCTACAAAATCAGTTCAAACCAAAGACAAATTTAACATTTTGCATCCTCACAACCATAAACGTGCAGTTGATCCAGAGAAAGGCAAAACCCATATAAAGCTATGATCTGATGAACATAAAAAAGATCCTTCCTGATCCCCCGTTGAAGCCAATGATGGCAAACCTACACAGAGGCCATGCACAGGCCTCCCTGGTGTCACAGGAGCCTAGGTGGTGGTTGTCGGGGCCCGCACACTGCAGGCTCTCCCCTGAGGTGCTCCACACGGGCCTCCGATGTCCCGCTGGTCTCCATGTCATATTAAGTTTTTAAAGATGGCTGCTGCGAATGGCGGCGCCCATCTTTAAACCCAGAAGGTGCCCGGATCCTATTTAATATATTGCCAATTATGGACACATAATCCTTTTTTATAAATGCATGTAAATTCTATTATTATCTTTTTGGTTAGGCTAAAGAAGACTGCAGATATGGGATCCCGATCAGGAATGGAATCTACAGATGAGGCAGAAGCAGAAGGTGCAGCAGAGCCGGACATAGAAAATGAAGCAGAAAGTTCCACCCTCAACATGTGCAGCTCAGTTTGCTCCTCAACGGGCCGCATCCACTAGTGACATGTGCTGAGATCGTGACCATGACAATGTTGGTTTCGTGTTGCATATGTGAACTTTTTTGAAGCAGAAACACATGGTGCAGCCAAATACAGCTGAACTACTAGATCAGTGGATAAGGTGCACTTAGCTAGTACTGATTTCTATATAGTGCAGCTCCTGGTTGCTTGTTTCACTCAGAACTTTAATATTAATGGCTCCATTTAGAAAGGTGACCACATTATAACTTGGAGATGTTTAGAAATGGCTTTGGTACAACTAAAGATGCCTTTTTAATAGATCGCTCTTACATTCTTGGGTGATTTTAAGTTACTGCACTGGAATATCATCCAGGAAAGACTAAGCATTATATGGCAAGCTGGCTAGAAACCATCTGATTCCAAAACTGAAATTTCCATGGAAAGAATTAAAATGATAATTTTGGTGATAATATTCCACACTTTAATGGTTTTTGCTCATGGGTCTGGCCTGGTCCATCAAGAGCTGCCTCATCAGTTACCACCTCCTGCAAGGCATGACATCTGACCCTCCACCACCTAACCTGTAGATAAAGAGCATTGTCTTGCCTTCAGCACTGTTAAGATTTTTATGGACACAATGTCAAGGCACAGCATTAGCAATGGAAGACTATGGAAGTCTCTTGGTCAGGAATGCATGGGACTTCTTTGAGCTAGTTAAGGTACTTTGGCATCCTGTTCACTGGAAATCAAAAGAGGAATTACATGAATGGTAAGCACATGAAGTCAGAATTTCAAGTTTAATATACATGATACGGTTCCATGGTAGGGAAGCATGACCTTTGTTTAAGAACAAGGTACCTGGTGTATTCTATGTTCCTATTCTTATCTGTATCTTGTGGCCAAAATTGGGTTTCTCTGTAAGGTTGCTGAGCTTACTATCTGGGGCAACACTGATGAATGTGACAGTCCAGGAGCACCTCGCAATTGAGCTATTACTCCTTTAAATTAAAAGGTGCAAGTTGCGTTTGGGCACCTTTCATGAATACCCCTGTTAGGCCTCAGGTGAAATAGTTTCTTTCAGCTGGCCTGTAAACACCTTGAAATCGCATAGGAGCAGCTGGAGTCTGAAGCTTTGCAAATGGAAGTTTGGACAACTGTTGCCAGGCTTTCAGTAAGTTTCAGTACTACTTAAAACATATTAAAAAGCTTACCGTAGCCTGCTTGCAGCTTGTTTAAAGTTTACCCAAAAGCTTTGAAAATGCTGTGTGTGTAGCTGCTGTACACAGAGCTTCTATACAATCTGAAATCCATGTGTACAATGCCTAAAAGTTTCATGTTTTTTTACAAAAGGTTTAATTAGTATTAAGGTTATGCAGAAAATACAGGAGTCATGGTGTAAGGAAACAGATTTGACATTAATGTAAAAAAATTACAGATATAGGATGTTGACAAGACTATTTTGTAGCCCTTGCCAGACATACTGTATATTAATACAAATGTATCCCTTGTGCTAACTCTGCCTGCTCCCATAAATTGGTAAGTTGCTGGAAGATGGTAAGAAACAAAAGAGGAGAGAGATACAGACAAATGGGGTTATCAAACAGATGTCTGGGATCAGCTGGGCAAGAACATAAGGAGGGCTGCGCTTGCTTTGAATGACAGCTGATGAGACGCATATGGTATAACCCAACTGGGTGCAAGATGACCTTAGTTGGCATGACTATAGTATAAAAAAGGAAATTGGGCAGAATTTTGCCAGTAGTACAAATGGGGAGGTTGTGATTCTTTTTTGTGCCAACAAGGGAGAAAGCAGGAAAGGAGGGAGGAAGTAAAGAAAAAAAAATCAAAAATAGACAGAAATGGATAGGATTAGAGGGGGAAGGTGTGGTTCATGAGGTCCAGCCCGTAACCTACACCTTGCAGATCACATGGCACAGTTAGAGGAGTGGTTTGGACTCATGTGGCAGTTGTACTCCAGCCATGGAACAACCATGAGCTATTTTTGAGTACAGTGCTTATTATTATTTATTATATGTATTATTACAGCCCTGAGATTGATCATGTGATTACATTAGGCAGGTCCTCCCACTCGGCCTGCACTGACACAGCCTATCTTAGTATCCTCAGACCGAAAGAAGGTAATCTGCAATAAAGATTGCTAAAATACTTGTATAGTATACTGCCTGTCCAAAAAAATAAGTCACACTCTCTAATATTTCGTTGGACCATTTAGCTTTGATTACGGCACACATTCGCCGTGACATTGTTTCAGTAAGCTTATGCAATGTCACAACATATATTTCCATCCAGAGTTGCTTAATTTTTTCACCAAGATCTTGTAGTGATGATGGGAAAGTTAGACCACTGCTTAAAGTTTTCTCCAGCACATCCCATATGGGGTTAAGGTCTGGACTCTGTGGTGGTCAATCCATGTGTGACAATGATGTCTCATGCTCCCTGAACCCTCTTTTACAATTTGATGCTTGGTGCATAGAGAAAGGATGATGCAATTTACCTTTCAGATGTCATAAGGAGATGACACTGACAATTAAACTGCTGGAGTGAAAACCACAGTTTTTTTAAAATTATTATTACTACCACCTAGCATTGTTATCAATTTACTGTATATTTCTATGATATTAGCTTTGCAAACAAACTGCAATGCTCTTCTATTTGTGCGGCTGCAGGCAATAGAAATAATTGTATGTATATATAATTTTAATTGCAAATTTGACTTAATACTGTGGAGCAGATCATAACAAAATAAGTCATGCAGTTCAGTTCTTCAAGAGGATTTAATTAAGTAAATGTTTGATGTACAAAAATGTATTGGACTACACTACACATTACACTAGAGGGTCTATTTATATATGTATTTTCAATCTATATATTTATTTACAATTTGCAGAGAAATATGCCTTGCAAATCTCTATGAACGTTCGTTCTGTGCAAATAGAGACAAAAATTTATGTACATATATTTTCTTTTTAGGTTGAATGTAACATAATGTAATACCGCATAGTGGGCACTAGATGGTGCTGAGGAGCATAGGAAACAAATACTTATGTTTTATGCTCCTTAGCTCCTTCTAGCGGCCATATTGTGATATTAAATTAAATCGACTCGAAAAGAGAATATACTAAAACTGTTTGTTTTTGCCTCTATTCAAATAGAATCAATACTCACAGAGATTCACATGGCGAGTGACTCTGCGAATTGTTTTTAAATATAAGTGTATGTATAAAGTCACTCGCACTCCAATAGAATTTCCAAAACGGTTTATTGACTCGATTGCTATCACATCATATAGCGACGTTTTGGAACAACAGCGGTTCCTTCTTCAGGCAAACAGAATGTTTTTAAATATAACTGATCACAATTATCCTTATACAGCACCATTAACACCCGAGCAAATTGAACTATGATTTGAACCTTCACCAGAAGCGTTTCAACACTGGACACTAGATTTTCATTATATTCAGTGGTGCCCATTCTCACCTGAGCAAGCCCCTTCTTGCTTGAAGCTCGAAACATAGGAGTGTCAGAAAAGCGCATGAAAAACATGTGAAAATGCATGCAACTCGCATTTTTCATATGTTTTCTTGCCTAGTAACTAGCTTTGCATCGGCTAAAAATAAAAATAATGCTCAAGCCTGAAACACACGCAAAAGCACCTGTACACATTCTAAAATAAAGCCTGGTATGGTACGGGTGTGTATCTCTAGTCAATATGTTATATTACAGGAAGTGGTTAGGTTGGGTTCTAACCATTCCTTACACTTAGCAAAATTAAAATGAAATTTTGGCTAAAGATTCACTTTAAAGTAGACACAATCTCAATGTTATTGACCAATGCTGGCGAGATCCACCCAGCTACGTGAATGACAGTGGGCTCTGCCTATCTAGAGGCAGAGCCAGCTGTACCCGCCCCCTCCCCCGTCCGTTCCTCCAGTCAGCGTTGGAGGATCGGAGCGGGGAGGGGTAATCCCTGCAGGTCACTGCTCCCTGCAGGTAGATGATCGAGAAGTGAGCGAGCGACGGAATCCATTCTCTCACTTCCCGATCGATTGAGCCGACGTGCGACAGTTTAATTGTCACACGTCGGCTCGAACTATGAGGTTGTGTGATTTTCACTCACCTCATAGTTCTCCTTTAGGCTGGGTTCACACCTGGGCGTTTTTCAGAGCTGATCGAAGAGATGTAAAACGCCCAGCAAGTGAAATCCCACTATTTCCTATGGGCATGGTTCCCACCTGGCCCTACGCCCAAAGAAGTACAGGAGCTTTTTTGGGGCGTAATTTCCACGCGTATCCATTAGGATACAGCCGGATAGCTCTCGTTGACGCGCGTTTCGTGGACCGCAAATCGCTGTAAAAACGCGCGTCATACGCGCATGTTACGAACGCCCAGGTGTGAACCCAGCCTTGAATATATCACCAGCATCCTGTCTGTTTACATGTAGCTCCGGGGCAGGGAAAACCCTGGCTGCAGCTGATTGAGCCAGCACTTGCAGCTTATTTTTGGGTTTGAATGAGTTCGGTTTCAGTTTAAATCCAAGCTCATCTCTATTGCAGAGCAACAATGTACAGCTGATGCTGGAGCGAGTGCTGCAGAAGTAACTGGCTAGGCTGGGCACACACCTTACAACCATCACAAGACTTTTGTCTTGCGATGGTTGTAAGGTACTGCGCACACCGGCCCGTCCTGCTTTTATCTTACGAACATGCTACACACCCGCCGAACATCGTACGATGCTCGGCGGGTTTTCGAACATGTTCGTAAGTTTAAAGTCGTGCGACCTTACAGTAGTAGAGGTCGCACGGCTTCCACACACCTTACGATAATCGTACGATCGCGGGATTTCCCGCGATTATCGTACGAGAATCGTGCAGTGTATGGGCACCTTTAGAGAGGCTGCATAAGATCAGCAGCACTGAGATGGGTAATAGTATTTATAGAAAAAGAAACCATGGCAATTTTCCACTCACTGTACTTTCACAAACAAAATGTCATCCGGTTAGGGTTTACATCTATTTTAACAATGCAGACCCAATAAAACGTACTTTAATCCCTGTGCTGGGTAAAGCAGAGATCAGTGTCCCATTGTATTAACCCATAATGGCCAATCAGAAACTATCACTGGAAAGAGTGGAAAGGAAGCCTTGCTTCTATGTTTACTGCACGTTAGACATCCTAAATGCTCTTTCCACTGAATCAGCTCTTTTACTGTAATTTATAGATTATTGGCTGTTTATATTGCAATGTAAATAAATGCATGCTGTGATTTTTATTTTTATACATTATATTGATACTGTTAAATGG